ATGTAAAAAAAGACAGGCAGGCACAGAGGCATAGAAAAGGTAAGGTGAATACTGTGGAAGTGGTGGAATATGACATAGAGTAGGGTTATGGTAGTTTGAAGTCAGAAGTCGACTGCCGGTTAATAGACTTTTTTGCTGTATGAATATACGTTGCCCAGGGTGCACCACGTGCAGGTAAGTCTATTACGTACCCCCCATGTCTGTGGTAATATTTGAGCATGCTAATGCACTGTGCCTCTGCAGCTTAAGGTTGTTCAAGCAAAATGAATTAACACGTGTCTAGATAAATGTCCGTTCAGCTTATATCCTGTTTCAAAAGATAAAGCTGAGTACTGTGAACGTTTAGTTTTGTGATGTTGCATCAACAGGAGGTGTTATCTGCTACTTTAATTAAAAAATGAAAAACTACACCTTTCTCGGTCTTTCTCACTACAATACAAGAATTTGATTCTTCGGTTTATCATTTAGTTGCTTATCTAGTCCACTGATAACGGAAGGTAATGGGGTTTCAACATTTGTTGAAGTGAATTGTGGACACAAATTCCAATTAAAAATCCATGGCAGGGAATTCTTAGAGGAGGCTATTAATGGCCGATCCGGTTGTGAATGATTTGATATTTGAATGTATGGAAACAAGTGGAACAGGACGAACAACGATCTTTGGATTAGTATTATTGCATTTGAGCTGACCATTGATCATTGGCTTGATCCTAATGATCCCGTAGAACCCATATTGAAACGCTCTTTTTATTCACTTACAACAAGTGGAATGTTTTCACTCAGATATGATTTCTTGGAATGATTTTTGGTATACACGGCAGGCTCAGAAGTTAGTCGCGCTAGAACGAAGTTAAACTTGCAAAACTTCATGGATCACACAAAACTCGTTTCCTTCAAACCATCTCTGAAGGAAAGTTACACTTTTACGCCATATCTGCTCATCTAAACAGGAAGTAAATTATTAAACGTCTAGGTGGAGAATGGCACAACCGTAGTTTAAATGGAATTTTTTTGAATGCTGATGTGCTAGAAGCAACAGGAGACATGAACCCTTAAGAAATCATGCCAAGAGTTGAACAATTCAACATCTGCTGATAGTGGAAAGTCGTTCTTCACTTTCGTCTTTACAAGTTTGCTTCCACTTGCCGCCGAAATAGCCACCATCACCCCCGAACTTTGCTAAGAGGATTGGACTATGCATATTTGAACAATTAACTCCGAACAATCAACAAAACATCGGCAATGCTAGTAAGCACACCCTAAAATCTTGTAATATTTAGAAATGTTTACTGTAAGCTACTAAACAAATTTTTACTAGACAGGACTCCTTTTCATTTTTATCTATTACTATTAAATGTCAATTTTTCAAATAGTGTCATTTTTGACAAAAAAAGCAGAATTTTATTTATAAATCATCTCATGCAAGATTAAATAACCCTCTATACCTCTATCGCGAATGCGTAAAGGCAGTCGCATTGGGAAAAAATCTCTTCTTTCATTGAATTTTCATTAAACTTGCATGTTTCAAATAGAATAAATATAATTCAAGTATCTTCTATGCATTTCACATTTTACATGTACAGAATCGCACAAAACTTGGCAGAATAGACTAATGAAAACATCTTTTTTATTAAAGAAAACGTCAAAATTTGAAAAACATTTGATTTAGAAGCGATTTTTGATTAGAAAGATTATTTTTATTTATAAAAGTGATATTCTTAAATAAGAGCAATTAAAAATGTCAACAAATAAAAGCCACTTTGTTTTGAAGAGAATTGTTTTACTATGTCTAAAATAGAAACTATATTCATGACATCAATTTCTTATATAAGGCGATTATTGTGTTTCAGTTTTAAATACAAAGTCAGTTCTAATCTTCATGGATAGTATTCATCATATGAAAGTATAAAAAATTGTTGATGTACTATCATCAAAATGTTCTACAAGCGAATGAATACTCAGAAGAGAGGGGAAATTGTTTCGAGATGGGTCAAGGTGTTACAGACCCTGAAGTTCAGATCAATTTACTTATTTATATCAAATGGCAGGCGTTCTGATAGTTAGCATTAGCCCTTCATTTGCTTTCAGGCTTCAAAGAGAGCAAGGTACATCAAAGTGGAGAAAAATTCGAGAGGGGGAGGGGAACGAAGAGTGCTTCAAAGATGGAGGTAGAAGAAAGGTGAGGTGAGCACTGTGGAAGTAGTCGAATATGGCATACAATGGGATCATGGCAGTTTGAAGTCAGAAGTCAACTGCCCATTGATAGACTTTTTTGTGTATGAATATGCGTTGCCCAGGGTGCACCACGTGGAGGTAAGTCTATCCCACACCCCAAGTTCAGATTTGACTTCTAAGTTCAGATCAATTATCTTCTCAATTTCTTAGACTGAATTAAAGCATATGGCGTTTGAAAGACCCGCTATGAATACGTCATCAAGAGTTATCAAGGCAACTGAAATTTAACTATTTATTCATAGGTATGTTCTGCTATTTAAGTCTCAATTCGTGATAGACTGTGCCTATAGTAAACGTCTCAAAAAGTTGGCAAGAATGCTTGGTTGAAAATCAAAGTGCCAAATTTTAAAGACATTTTTGATGAATCCCGAGGTCCGCTTCTTGATGGGGATAACAACCTCTGGATCACTCACTCCATGTTTCAGGATTGCATCTGTAGAAGCAAACGTAGAGGTTATCAAATTTCTTCCTCATGTCCATGAATATAAACAGAATAACTTTTGTTTGATGATGAAAAATTTAAAAAAACCTTATACTTCATTAACTGAAATTTGTTTACCTTGAAAAGATATTCTGCATGGCCAATCTTTCTTGCTGGTTTTGGTCAAAAAGCGATAATTCAAATCATTTTTATTTTACCCTTGTAAATTTACGTTCATTTAAAAGTATTTATTTATTTATTTCAAATGGCAGGCTTTATGATATTTATCATTAGCCCTTAATCTTTGACTTCAGCTTCCCCCAAGAGGGGGGGGGGTATATTTATAGCAGTTAATTAATAGCAGTTCATTAGCAGTCTTCTTGCTTCCCAGTATCTTTGGCTTTCTGTCCTTGTCTTTAGAGCTGGACACCGAATCAGGTGGGTCTTCTCCATTTCCTCCCGTAAGTTACATAGAGAGCATGGGGGTTGAGTGTATACTCCCAATCTGTGAAGGTGTTTTGCCAAGCAATCGTGTCCGGTACGTAGTCTAAACTCAGCAACGGCTTCGATTCTTACCCAGTCAGGTATGTCGGAGAGTGCCACTGTCCACTGTTTCTCCTTTGTTCGAGCTTTGAGTTCGTTGCACCTTGAGGTCTGGAATTCTCTTCTGATTAAGGTCTTCATTGTGTGGTAAGACATCGGCCGGTCCATGCATTGCAAAATCGTTGTCCTCTTCTTAGCAAGTGTGTCAGCAAGCTCATTGCCTTTAATGCCACAGTGACCAGGAATCCATTGTAGGATCACTGTTTTGTTTTTCTCTCTCAGCAGCTCATAGAGTTTTCTACATTCCTTTATCTCAGCTGTTCTGGGTGGCTCTCTCTTTCCAATTGAGTTTATTGCTGACTGTGAGTCCGAAAGTATCACCGCTTTGGTGAATGTCGTATCCAGGCAACATAATTGGCATAGTGCTATCTTAATGGCCTCTATTTCTCCTTCAAAAGCGGATCTATTATGTCCCACTGCTGCGTAGAAAGAGAAGAGTTCAGAATAGACACCGGCACCAACGTTTACTTGGTTTTCTATGTATGACCCATCAGTGAAGACTTGGAGCCATTGATCTGCAGGATAGTTGACATTGATTATCTCAAGGGCCAGTGAGTGCATTTGCTCTGGAGGGGTGTTTGATTTCATGAAGAAGTTGAGCAGTTGGGTGCAACACACTACATCAGTGTCTGCTAATGGGCTCATGGGTAGAGAGAGGCTTTTTGGTTTGTCATCGACTTGTAATGATTTCTTCAGTTCTATGGCTTTCTGTATTAGACCAGATTGCGTTTTCAGATGTCATGGGCTATTCTCGTAGGTGCTGAAGAACTTATCCATGGTAATGCGCAGTAGCTTCTCATACAGGATCAAGGCCTTTTCTTTGATAAGGGAACCTATTGTGGTGCTTCCTGTAACTAGGAGCATTGCATCAATGGGTGCTGATTTTATCCTTCCAGTAATTAGTCGTAATGCTTGGTTGTGTGCCTTCTCGAGTGGTTTGAGAGTCTCCTCTGTGGCTGTAATGAGTGGCTCACAGCAATACAACATTATTGGCTGAATAAACATCTTGTAGGTGGTGTTGAGAGTTGAGCGTGCACAGCCCCATACACTACCAGCAAGACGCTTCATTACATTCAGTCTACTGGAGACTCGTTCTGCTATTTTTGCATTGTGGCTTTTCCACGTTAGCTTTGNACCATTCTTTCCATAAGTTTAGTCAGCACGCTTGTGAGGGAGATAGGCCTATAGTTGTCAAAGTTGCTAGGGTCTTTGCTCTTTTTTAGTACTGGTATTACTATGGCAACTTTCCTTTGGTTAGGTACGAGATTGGTCTCCCAGATTTTGTTGTAAAGCGTCAGCATTGTTTCCTTGGCTTTTTGTCCCATTCAAATTAGAAATTCCACATGAATACCGTCTTCGTCAGGAGACTTCTTGCACTTTAGCTGTTGTATCGCAGCATTAAGCTCGCTAGGTCTGAATGGTTCAGTAAGTACATTATTTGGTGTTGTCGTGTCTTCCTTAATTTCACCAAACTGTTTTACTTGTATCTTTAAATCTCTTGAAGATTTTCTGGCAAAAGGGTTTTTCTTCTGCTTGTGGAAATAGAACCTCGCAAAGCATGTCTTCAATTTCCTTTCCTGCTCTGTTTGTACCCTTGTAGCCCCATCTGGTGGAGTGGGCGTTGAAGTCTCCTAATACTATAGTTTTGTGTGAGATGTTCAGAATGTTAAAGTTTGGACAATTCTGAGGTGGATTATAGACTGTATACACCTTGAAGTGGTTTTAAAATTTCCAAACATTTAATCTGATTATTTTGCATGTCTTGTGTCGAGCCCATACTCTTGATTAGATCGTAGTGTGAGGTAAGGCCTTCTTTAACTCCAGTTAGAATTCCACTTGTAACTTGCCGATATTTAGGTAGATTGTACAGGGTGTAACCTGGGAATTGGTAGTACTTCAGTTTGTCATCCGAAATGTTAGCTTCCGTAATAGTGAAAATGTCTACATCATAGGTTTGTAGGATTTTCTGGACTTGGATCATTTTGTCCGGTGACATTCCTCCAGCATTCCACTGGAGGATCTGAAGACGTTGTGATTAACCTTGACGAGGGCGATTTTTCTTATAGCCTTTTTTAAAGCTTATCATAATAAATCGAAGTCAAAAACGAATGCCGAGTGATAGACTTTTTTGCCGTAAGAAAATACGTTGTCCAGGGTGCAGCACGTGGAGGTAAGTCTATCGCGCACCCCTTCATTTAAAAGTTTTACTTAATTTATTTACTTAATGAATGGGAGTTAATTAATTAATTTTAAAATTAGCTATTTTAATTATAGTCTGGTCATAGGTGTCTACATTCACATATCTCCTAGGAATAGCATTAAAATGTTGCCTTGTAGAGAACACTGAAATTTTATTCTTTTGCCTCTTATTTATTTAAACAATGAATTGCTTTTTAACTGATAGTCCTTTCACATAACATAAAATCATAGATAATCAAATTCTTTTATTTAAAGTTTCATCCGACTCCCTAAATTGTACCACAATCTTCTTTATGTGGTGAAAATCAAAGATGTTAATTTTTATGAATCTGGTGGTTTATTAGTAGGGTCGGTGACTTCTAGAAATAGCTTATTGAAAACATAGCATGACAACAAGTAGCTAACAAAATAATGGCATTTTTACGTATAGTATTAAAGTTTAAAAATTTTAAAATTGGAATACGAACAGAAAGGCATTGCAGAAAGCATGAATGCAAATACTTAATTTACAGGGCCTTATTAAATCTTAAATCTGTTCATGTTCACATCCCTTATTCAACTGTGACAAAATTATTTGTTTAGATTTCGGCAATAGATAAATTTGGCGTTTTTATATCGTTTAATTGACTTCTCAATGACATTCCACGCGTTTGACATACTCAATTTAATTTATTACTATAAATGAAACAGAGTTTGTGATTATATGTAATGATCTCACTAAAAACATTTTTGCCATTTTGAATAAATAAACCTGCTTTTACACATCGACACTCACAATTCTGGTATCAAGATAAACATCAATTTTTAACTGTTCACGTTAGTTTGGTATTTTCACTACTTTTAACACACGCAATCTCGGTTTATGAAAAAATAATCAGCTCCTCATTGGGGTCTGCAGATCTTTTACAAGTTAATGTTATAATTTTGTGACGTTTTCGCTACGAATAATTTCACCCGTTGCATATACTCAATCCTCATATCGTTTCAGTTCGTTTCTGCTGGCATGAATTTATTACACAGCGTTTTGAGTTTAAAGGCATTCGCTTCAATCAAAATTAAAATACATTTAGTTTTTTCATGAAGGATTTATTAAATGCGTTCTCTATAAGTTCAAATAATCCTATTTGCATTGTTAGCCATTTTTTTGTACTGTTACCCGCCCAACAGATTAGATGGTATCGTCAATTGCTCTCTTGTCGGCTCTGAAGAATCACAAGGCATACGGGCATATGTTGGCGACAGAAACTTACATTTGGAGCTTTATTTCGTGCGTTATATCCATCTTTTGCATTGCTAGGGTAGAATAAGGATCTTGGTGAGTCTAGGGCTAGATTCAACCAGTTAGAGCAAAGGCACATACAATGATTGCCCTTTATACTGCACGGCGTGGGGTGCGCGATAGACTTACCTCCACGTGGTGCACCCTTCGACAAGTTCATCTCGAATATCAACTATCAAAGTGATGCTGTTCTAAGACAAGCCATCTTACAAGCTAAACGGACTTCCACTATGGCAAGCCATCTTGCAAGCTAAACGCACTTCTTTCGAATCTCAAATATCAACTATCAAAGTGATACCCAACGCACTTTCCAACAATATCAACTATCAAAGTGATAGCCAACGCACTTTCAAATTTCTGGGAGTGGCAAAAAAATTCAAATTCCTGGGTAACCTCCAAAACAACAGAGAAAGACAAAGAACCAATACGCTTAAACAGCAAATTGCTTACCACCGATAACCAATACGTTTAAAAAACAAACTGCTTACCACCGACTCCAAAATAACTTACTGCTGTGCGAGGTTCTATTTCAACAAGCAAAAGAAAAAACCCATTTGTCAGAAAATCTTCAAGANCACGGGCATCAAGTGCTTACTTTACCCAGATGATCTTGTTCTATGGTATTTCTCTCCAAAGAAAAACGCTCAGGAGAAGACAGAAATTGTCCCAAATTGTGCACTTAAACTACTAGGAAACGGGTGCGACAACAATGGAATGGCAATCAACACCGCAAAAACTGCATTTCAAACTTTTTCTATGGCCCGTCACAGCATAAACCCGATGCTAAGGTACAAGGATGCTACCATAGAAAAAACCAATGAGTTCACATTTCTCGCAATGACGTTTGACTCAAAGCTAACGTGGAAAAGCCACAATGCAAAAATAGCAGAACGAGTCTCCAGTAGACTGAATGTAATGAAGCGTCTTGCTGGTAGTGTATGGGGCTGTGCACGCTCAACTCTCAACACCACTTACAAGATGTTTATTCAGCCAATAATGTTGTATTGCTGTGAGCCACTCATTACAGCCACAGAGGAGACTCTCAAACCACTCGAGAAGGCACACAACCAAGCATTACGACTAATTACTGGAGGGATAGAATCAACACCCATTGATGCAATGCTCCTAGTTACAGGAAGCACCACAATAGGTTCCCTTATCAAAGAAAAGGCCTTGATCCTGTATGAGAAGCTACTGCGCATTACCATGGATAAGTTCTTCAGCACCTACGAGAATAGCCCATGACATCTGAAAACGCAATCTGGTCTAATACAGAAAGCCATAGAACTGAGGACATCATTACAAATCGATGACAAACCAAAAAGCCTCTCTCTACCCATGAGCCCATTAGCAGACACTGATGTAGTGTGTTGCACCCAACTGCTCGATTTCTTCAGGAAATCAAACACCCCTCCAGATCAAATGCACTCACTGGCCCTTGAGACAATCAATGTCAACTATCCTGAAGATCAATGACTCCAAGTCTTCACTGATGGGTCATACATAGAAAACCAAGTAAACGTTGGTGCCGGTGTCTATTCTGAACTCTTCTCTTTCTACGCAGCAGTGGGACACAATTGATCCGCTTTTGAAGGAGAAATAGAGGCCATTAAGATAGCACTATGCCAATTATATTGCCTGGATACGACATTCACTAAAGCGGTGATACTTCCGGACTCACAGTCAGCAATAAACTCAGTTGGAAAGAGAGAGCCACCCAGAACAGCTGAGATAAAGGAATGTAGAAAACTCTATGAGCTGCTGAGAGAGAAAAACAAAACAGTGATCCTACAATGGATTCCTGGTCACTGTGGCATTAAAGGCAATGAGCTTGCTGACACACTTGCTAAGAAGAGGACAACGATTTTGCAATGCATGGACCGGCCGATTTCTTTCCACACAATGAAGGCCTTAATCAGGAGAGAATTCCAGACCTCAAGGTGCAACGAAATTAAAGCTCGAACAATGGCGAAACAGTGGACAGCGGCACTCTCCGACATACCCGACTGGCCAAGAATCGAAGCCGTTGCTGAGTTTAGACTACGTACCGGACACGATTGCTTGGCAAAACGCCTTCACAGATTGGGAGTATACACTCAACCCACATGCTCTCTATGTAACCTACAGGAGGAAATGGAGAAGACCCACCTGATTCGGTGTCCAGCTCTAAAGGCAAGGACGGAAAGCGAGAGATACTGGGAAGCAAGAAGACAGCTAATGAATTGCTATTAATTAACTGCTATAAATGTACCCCCCCCCCCCTCCCACTCCTGGGGGAAGCTGAAGTCAAAGTCGAAGGGCTAATGATAAATATCATAAAGCCTGCCATTTGAAATAAATAAATAAATATTACACGGCATACATAGCTGGACCCTGAAAATAAGGGCTCTCTTTGAATTCGGTCAAATAAGTTAGGAATACGTGAATCCGTGTTATATGGTACATTCTCATCGGCGACACTCTACATTCTGTGGGCAAATTCTAAAATGAAGACGATTGCTACTTCATTATATGAGATCAGGCGAATTTTAGAGCACATTAATCTATTTATTCTCACTTTTTATCATATTTTGAGACTTTCACAAAATTTTTTTATTTACCAACTCACCAGCCTACATTATCGATTTTAATTAGGCAAAAGGTTTTGCTTGGAACACCAATCAGAACATTAGATTTTTATTTAAGCATAAATGGGGCATGTGAAAATTATACATTTTGTAAATAATCAATCGTGATCGTGATTGACAAATGTGTTTAAAATTTTAAAATTTATATATAATATATTTTCGTAGATTTTTCAATACTATAAAACAAAATAAATATGTCAGTATTTGCGTTAATGAAAAAGAAATTAATATTGCATCTTTTGGAAAAAAATTAGTCAGTTTAGTCAGTTGAGAATCAGAAAAAGTTTATACATGAAAGCGGCATAACCTGATCTACATAAGTTAAAATGTTAAAAGGTAACATTCTGAAGCAACCGATCGTGACCCCTTAAAGAGAGTGATAAAATGCATATTTAAAAAATAAAAAATGAGATATTTTAACTCTCTATCTCTCTCTCTGACTTTTCAGTTATTAAGCTGCATTTGGTTTCATTTTAAAATTATTTCGCACTATCAAAATTGCACAAAAATACTTCAAATTGCCCCAGAGGGTTATAAATTACGAAGACCAATTAATTATGGATGAGGAGTCAACTTTCTAATTATACAACACTTCGTTTGTGACTATTACCCATGATATTTGTCTCCACCTGATGATAAAGAAAACTCGTTAATGGAGAAGTAAATGTTATTGAAACATATTTTGACGAAGACTTTTATGAATACTAAAATCCAATTAATTTATAATTATTTAAAAACATCCATCTGTTATTTTGTAAGCTCAATTTATAAGCTCTTATTCTATATGTAAAATAAGTGCTCAATCATATTTTGATAAGTCCCTTAATTTATTCATTAAAAAGAAAGGCCAGACTGTTAAATATTATATATAGATAGACTTACTTCCACGTGGTGCACCCTGGACAACGTATACTCATTCGGTCTATCAACCGGCAGTTGAATTCTCACTTTAAAATACCATCACGCTACTGTATTTCATACTTAACTACTTCCATTGTACTCACCTCACCTTTTTTTCTACCTTTGTACCTGTCTCGTTTACATTTTGATACCCTCTTCTGTTCCCTCCTCTCCTCCCGACATTTTTCACTTTGATGTTCCTTCCCCTCTTTGAAGCCTGATGTCGACTAAAGGGATAATGATAACTATCAAAACGCCTGTCATTTGATAAAAAATAAATATTCTATATAAATAAATTTTGGTCAAATCATGTGAATATTTTTTAATAAAGCTTTGGCGTATATTTCAGTTTATATGTGAAAAGGAAATAAAATCAAGGATCAATGTCCAGTGATGTGGATGACCAATCATGAGGAAATAAATCCTTCTTGAAAAGAAATTGTTCAACGCTTGTAGTAATCAAAAGAGGATAAATGAAATCAATTCCCCAACAATGCTACGTAATACATATTTAAACTGTACAGGAGTTGCATGATATACCATTCGTTACAAACCATGTAGTTTAAATTATGAATTAGGAAATAATGAGTGCATTCAAACAACAATAAAACTGAATATATTTCAAACATAGTATTCATTTCTTTAAAGGAAGTTTTACAGTTTTGAACAAATTTCTGGTGATTCGGCAGTCCATTAGCATCATCACGATACCCTTTATTTAATCTTTTATTTAAACGAGTCATTTCGTTCAATGGTTTAGTTAATTAAAAATATACGAACCAAGGAAAGACACAAACTGATATATGCATAAGTAAAATTAGTGGCATTTTGGCAAATAATTGGGATCAAAATTTAGTTGATACCGTTTAATCACTATGTTTTACTAACAAATAGGTAGAATTGGAAATAGGACTTAACATGGAGAGCGTTGCAAAATTTCAACTGAAACACAATTATATGTGACGGATTTAAGTATATGAAAAAAATATTTTAAGAAACTAATAAAAGATCTTTACTCATTAGTATGAAAGAGTAAGGTTTGTCTGATCGTACGGGTTAAAAATTAAACCTAGAGCCGTTTTGCACTGTTATTCAGCCTCTTTGTACTTGTATTAAAACAGGACAGAGAACTACTTATTTGGAGCTCTCTAAATCTGTAAATGTGGTAAAATTAAACCAGAATATAAGGCCAAACTTGTACTACGAAATGATGAGATAGAGATCGCATGGAAACTTGCGTTAAAGAAAGTAATGCCAACTATATATATATATATATATATATTTTAATAGTAAAATGAGGCATACTTTTGAACAAAGTAACTGTAAATCTATGAACTTTCCAACAGCGTTGCCCTCGACTAACAATCGGAAATCTATACTTACCTTCTGATCTATGCACTTAAAATTATTTTTGTAAATGTTTTATTCATTCTCAATTTTATTAAAATCTATAAAACCTTTTATATTCTAAATTTATGTTTATAACAAGGTAGAAAAAGTGGACTACAGAATATTGCGATTCATACAAGCTTTTGTCTTCAAGCATATCTTCTTGACCAGTAAATTAAATTTGAAAGATTTCCAAATACCTCCTTAGTAATATCTATTTCTCTTCTTATTTGGTGACCAGAGA